CATCCCAGACCCCTAATGCCGGTTTGGCAAGGGAAACAGCCCTGATGGATGGCTTCTAGCTGGTCTGCCCTCATTTGCTTACCATGGTGATCCTGGCACTGGAGTGGATGCCACGGGCTTGTTGCCGTTTGACGTGCTGTCATCCTCATTTACTAGTTTAAAAGAATGATCCTTGGAAGACAGATAGAGATTAGTGAACAAATAAAGCTGACACAGAAGACTCTTACTGTCACACAAATCACTCCCTTTGACGTGAAGTGGATCACCCTTATTGCCATTATCCCACGAGCAGCTTTATGAACGACCAGATTCCCTGAGAATAGCCTGGATAAACGGGAAATAATAAAAATATCGCCCCACTTACGGCAATACAAATGAAAAACCAGCTGATACGCTTCTGTCCGTGTCAATAGGTGACTTGGGACAGGGGTATAACCCTGTGTATTGTCGTAACGAGGAGCGCGGCCTCGTCAGGCACGAAGCTCGGAGAGTGATGAAGGACAGGAGGGTGCTCCCACTGAGGGAAAGGGGTGCGGGTGGCACGTGTGGCAAGAAAGCCCTTGTACCAGCTCCAATGTGTGAAGCAACGGGAGCAGCTGGGAGCAGAGGAACACCAGGGTGAGCCCTGGGAGCGCAGGTTGCCCCGCACAGCTCGGCGCCCTCACTGCTGGGCAGTTCTTTGAGTAACAGCACTGGCAGGAGGGATCCTCCTTGGCTTCAACCAGCAGTACTCCCCCAAGGGGGAACCCAGGTACACCCCTGTCCCCACTGAACCCCCCTGCAATGGGGCTGGGCTGGATGGAGCAGCGGACGACGCAGCAGGGTTGTGCAGGGTTGCAGCTGCCAGGTCCAGGCAGTGTTTTACCAGCTGAAGTAAAAAATCATACAGAGGGGGAGGTGTGGGAGGAAAGCAGTGATCGAGCTCGCTCAAAACATGAGGAGCACGTACTTAATTAAAAAATAATAAAGCGGATGTCCAGGGCTCTTCATCTTGAAAGTATTTTAAAACTTCAGGACTGTGCCTGAGTCCCAGTGCAGCGGCAAACACGGGGAGCACCTGCAGCGCCTGGTAGGCGGGGAAGGTTTGCTTGCACAGAGCCCAAAGACGCGACAGGAATGTGCCAAACGAAAATAAACTGAGCAGTAGCTCAGTCCACAGGTCCCTGAAAAGTACGTGTGCGCAGAGCAGATGTGCGGGCGAACAGACCACGCCTGCTCCGAGGCAGCTTCGAGCAGCTTCCGTGCTGCTGCTTTCTGAGTCTGAGATGCTCTTCCACCCCCCGCCGTATTCAGCTAAGCTCCCTTTTGTAGCTTTACCCATGTTCACGATGTCTGCACAAGCTGGGCAGAAAGCAAACATTTCCATTTATTTCATAGAAGCTGGAAGTATGATTTAGGTCATTTTCCTTTCTGCAATAATCTAGGCTTTTTTATAGGAAGTTAATGAAGTTACACACATATAATAATTCCCATCTGTAAGCTGCACATACCACTTACTACCTGTTTATGTTCACCTGCCAGTTCTATTTAAGGACACGCAATTATCTGTAAAGGAGGGCTACAGAAGTGCCCAGAACAGTTAAATTAGTAACACCAGAAAGGTGAGTGCCATGAAAAACATCCTTCCTTGCACATGGGGCTGCTGTGATAAGTGGCATGAGACCAGCGAGCCCACCCTGCTCTGAGCAGGGGCTGAGCCAGCTCCACAGGTCCCAGCCACCGCAGTGCGACGGAGAAAATCTCTGCTTCTCACTTCAAATTCTCAGTCCATGAGTTTTATCCCAGGCTGTGTCACACCTCCGTGTTTGCACACATCCCCCATTGACTCACTGCTCCTCCAGCACATGGAGAAAACCAGCCGTGAGCATCCCTCCTCCGAGACTCTGACGCTGCAGCGACAGAGCTCCTATCCCAAGATAAAGGGATATTTGCTCTTGCAAACGGCCTGTAGGAAGCCATCCCGTACCACCAGCACAGCTCCAGCCACAGGACAGCCCTTTATACTGACACTGATTTGTGCACCTCGAGACTTCACAGAGGTTTATAGAAAAAGAAACGCCGTTGCAGACCTTATCGCCATCGCTCTCCACGGGGGCACTCTTCCTCTCCGTACGCAAAATCAAGGTCGGTGGGCAGGAGGATCTACTTGATTCTTTGCCGTTATCTGTGAGGGGAAAGGATTTCTTTTTAATGTGCAATAAATACATTCCCAACAAGCCCGAAGTGGTGAAGAACAACCAAACCACTCCCTGCAGTCTCCTCTCTTTACCTGTTTCTCCCCACTCAGTCCTTTACCCACCCGCACACGTGTGTGCCCAGGACACTGAGCGGTCTGTCCTGCTTTCCACACAACCCAAACTTTTTTTCCATGGAACATGCCTTCCTCCCAAGGGGTGCCATGGGCTGGCCAGCCCCCTTCTCCTCCCATCCAGGAGATACGGGTGTGCTCTGGGTTAACCTACGCAGGAACCGCTGACGAGCGGGTAATTGCATTTCCACTGGAAGCAGTTGTAAGAACGTGTTCCTCTGCTTTACAAACAGCTTCTCCATCCCAAAATGCTGAACTCTAAAAGGTGCTTCCGCTGGTACAAACTGTACCTCTTGGTGACAGAGAGGCCATAAGGCAGCATAAGGAGGCGCAAAAAGGCAGCAAGTACAAGAGACAGACCAACAGTCAGAAGAAGGTAGTTTTCACAGTAAGAAACATTAAGACAGATTTTTTTTTTTTGGGCTGGGGGTGAGTGTCATCTTGTCCTCTTAAAACACGTGTTTAGGGCTTTGAGCAGAGGTGCTCTCTAGTCACCCGTCCCGTCCCACCCGTGGCGGGGAGCACAGGGTGTATATATTCTCTGAAGTTACCCAGCCCCAGGGAAAGCGCACGCGGCCCCCAGCCCCTCCCTCCCCTGCAGCCATGGCCTTTGGGGTGGCACAGAGCAGTGACAGCAGGGGCTCCGGCGGGGAGCACACACAGCCAGCAACACGCAGCCGCCCAGGAGACGTGACCTGGAGCGTTCCCCCCGGAGCGCCTACAAACCCTGATCCGGGCCCTGTGCCACAGGACCTGGAGCTCCACCTTAAAGCCAGCCTGGTTTTAGGCAGAGCTAAACCACAAATAATGATGATGTTTCAAGTCCTTTGTGGTAAAAACCCCATAAGCAAAGTATGATCATAACCCACCATTAAGCCAACCATATAAAGCCGGCCATAAAGCCAACCGTATCCTGGGCTGTATCCAGAGCAGTGTGGCCAGGGGGGCGAGGGAGGGGATTCTGCCCCTGTACTCTGCTCTGGTGAGACCCCACCTGGAGTGCTGCGTCCAGCTGTGGAGCCCCAACAGCAGAAGGGTATAGAGCAGTGGGAGCGAGACCAGAGGAGGCCACAGAGATGCTCCGAGGGCTGGAGCCCCTCTGCCCTGGGGACAGGCTGGGGGGGGTGGGCTTGTTCAGCCTGAGGAAGGGAAGGCTCCGGGGAGACCTTATAGCACCTTCCAGTACCTGAAGGGGCTACAAGGAAGCTGGGGGGGACTTTTTACAAGGGCCTGTAGTGACAGGACAAGGGGTAACGGGTTTAAATTGAAAGTGGGGAGGTTTAGATTGGATATCAGGAAGAAGTTCTTCCCAGAGAGGGTGGGGAGGCACTGGAACAGGTTCCCAGAGAAGCTGTGGATGCCCCATCCCTGGGAGTGTCCAAGGCCAGGCTGGATGAGGCGGGGAGCACCCTGGGCTATGGAAGGTGTCCCTGCCCATGGCAGGGGGTGGCACTGGGGGGCTTGAAGTTCCCTTCCATCCCAAACCATTCTATGATTCTATAGCAAATAGCAGATTCACATGTCAAAATAGTGTCCAATTAATTTAAAAATCACTCAGACTACAGAACAGGCACACGTGTAACAGGAACTGCACGGAGGAAAAGGCTGGCGTCTCAGCCATTTGACTCTGCTTCACTGTGGAATATACCACAATAACAAAAAACTAAGTATATGTCATTTTTTCTCAGAAGATGACTTACTCAATTTTTATGGGTAGTGAAAAAGATGATTTACAAACCGTATCAATTAATTTCCACATTAAAGGAGCCAGGAGTAGGGAGCAGTTAATAGGTATCACAAGGGTCTCTTAAATTTACCTTTCTTCCCCAAACATCTGGAGTGATCAGGATTCAATGCATTTGAACACAGTCAAGTCACACCCAGCTTCAGCCTGCCCTGAGCACCCACCTCTGCCTTCTCCTGTTGGGCTTCTGGAAGGGTGAAGGAGATCCCAGCAGAGTGGTCAGAAAGGCCAGGAACATCAGAGGGACAATGTGGGGACCCCGCAGGACCGGCCCACAGGCGGCAGGGCCACACGCCAACACCTGGAGA